CTGCCTCGAAACCCCCGCCCCTCCCGGGCCCCGCCCCCAGGCCCTTCCATAGCGACGTTGGCTCCTCCCAAACCCCCTCCGCTCGGCTTGCTCCTTTGCAGCCCCGGGTGTTAGCGCCGGCCCCTCGCAGTGCCTGCCTCATCAAAACGCCCCGGGAATCCTCCTCTGCCTCCCTTTCGGTCTTAGCCACACGATGAAAAATGCCAGTTTCCCACGCTCGGTGCGCCGCTTACCTGATGGCGACCAGATCCAAAGCTTAGATTCCTAGTCCAAGCCTCACTTCCTGTGGCACCACAGCAATTTTGGGGCTCCAGCCTAGCTCCCGCCCAATCCGTCCCTGGAGTACTTTGTAAGTGGGGGGGGGGTCTCCATGTTCCTTTTGGGGCTCGAGGACGGATGCTTCCGGCGGCCCCCCGGGTCCTCTCCAGGGCCGGAACGATAATGCCAGAGCCGTCGTTTTCCGAGCCGGCGGAGTTAAGGAGGAAGCATACGTCAGAGCGCTCTCGCCGCTGGGGAAAGGAAGAGGAGGGGCCCTGCGCGCGGTATCCTGGGAACGCGTGGTATTCTGGGTACCCCGGGCCCGCCATTCCCTCGCTTCACGCCTTCGCCGTGTAACGTTTGTGCCAGGGCCGAAAGGGAGCCGGTGAGGAGAGGCGGAGAACCGGTAAGAGGAGGCCTAGGCGTCCCCGGAGGGTTAGGGGCAGGAAGGGAGCCTGCGGAGGAGCTCAGCGGGGCACTAATGGCGGGCGGGAAGCCTGGGCCGATCCAAACACCGTCTCACCCGCGCTTGGAGCAGCTCCTCGTTTACGCCTGTCTGCGCGTTCTGTGCCTTTCCGGCTCGCCGATTTTCGGAGCTCGCCCGCAGTCGTTTCTCACGAAATACCCCCTTTCCCTGTGTGCCCTCCTTTTCAGCGTCCTCTGCATCCCTGCTCCCCTCGGATTCCGGCGCTGGCCCTCCCCTGCCTTCCACGACTGCTGCACGAGTCTTAGCGAGTCGCTGTGCTGCAGAAGGGCCATGTTCGAGCTATCCTGCAGATGCTGCTATTATTCCTTTTTGTTTTCTACTGAGCCTTTGGCAATGACCCTTTTGTGTCCCCCCCCCTCCACCGTTTTCAGCATAAAACTCACACTCCTTAAGTTGAAAGCCGTGGTTCCTCACCAAGAGAGACAGCGCCCAGCATCCTTATAGCCTTCTCATGGACATAGGTGGGAACGCTCATCACAGTTGCGCTTAGCCTCCGTCTTTTACTGAGGCTTAAATCGAGCGTCGACCCTGATGGTGCTCCTGTGAGCATTTCCTGTCACTTTGTGAACGCCTTGCTATCTTATCAGGGTCTATGTCTGCTGAGCACTTGGAATATTACTAGTGTGACTGGGAGGGGAGGGGCTTTTTAATTTATATTTCAGTTGAATAGCTACAGGTAAGCAGTGATTGCTTTTGAGGTCCATATCATAGTTCTTGGGTGACTATAAAGGGTCATGTGTTTGGGAATAGATAAGAGGCACTCTTCATTCCCACCAGCCTCTTCTGTCCAGCTTGCTTGCCATCCTTCCCAGCTCGAAGGCAGTGTGTCCTTGCCATGGTGGTTCCTTCAAACCAAGAGTCAGACTCCTTCCACAGAAAATGCAGCTTAGGCCGGGCGGTGGTGGTGGCTCACACCTTTAATCCCAGCACTCGTGAGGCAGAGGCAGGCGGATCTCTGTAAGTTTGAGGCCATCCTGGTCTACAAGAGCTAGTTCCAGGACAGCCTCCAAAGCCATAGAGAAACGCTGTCTCAGAATAAAAAAAAAAAAAGAAAGAAAGAAAGAAAGAAAATGCAGCTCTGACATATTTGCAAAGGGTATGGTATGCCAGTCCTTCTTAAGCTCTGAAAGACAGCTGTTGTCTCTCTCTTCCACAGGAACACTCCTGCCAAGATGTCTATCGGTGTGCCGATTAAAGTCTTGCACGAGGCTGAGGGCCACATCGTAACTTGTGAGACCAACACTGGCGAGGTGTATCGAGGGAAGCTCATTGAAGCAGAGGACAACATGAACTGCCAGGTACCTTGCTTTGCACCTGTGAAGGAACTGTGGGTGAAAGGTAATATCTCTGACTGCTCCAGGTCTAATACACATACCTTGGAGTTGTCATAGAGAGTTCAGATGGCTGTGTGTTCACAGTGGCCAGCTCAGTGCTTTGCGTGCAATAACTGGTGCCTGTTAACTGTATTCCACATGAGAAAAGTAAAGGTTGGAGAGGGAAAGTACATTATTTAGAATCACACCTGTGGGTCAGGTGGCCTGACTATTGCCTTTTAGGGTTTGCATTAGTTATTTCCTGTGGCTGTGATAACACACCATTAGAAGGGGTTTTTTTAGGCTTGCAATTACAAAGGAATGAGTCCATCGTGGAGGGGAGAAATGGTAATAGCAGGACGCTGAGTGCTTACATCTTCAATAGAAAGCTTGAAGTAATGAGAGCTACCTGGAAGTGTTGGAGGGTATTAATCTGAAAGCCTGCCTCCAGTGACATTCTTCCTTCAGCAAGGCTGCATCCCCTCATCCCACCCCCCCCAAAACAACCCACCAACACATGGGGGCCAAGTGTGCAAATGCCTGCAACTGTGGAGGATACTTTTCATTTAAACTACTGTAATTGTGCTGCTTAGTTTTTTTGTCAACTTGGTGCAAGTGAGAGTCACCTTAGAAAGGGGAACCTCAGTTGTGAAAATGCCTATCCTATAGGCAATTCTGTGGGGCATTTACTTGATTAGTGATTGATGGGTAAGTGCCCAGCTTATTAAGGGCTAAGCCACTTCTAGGCAGTTGTTTCTGGAATAAGAAAGGAAGCTGAAGGCTGAGCATGGTGGTGCACACGTTTAATCCCAAGACTAGGAGGCAGGGGCAGGGGGATTTCTGAGTTCCAGGAGAGCCAGAACTGTTTCACAGAGAAGCCCTGTCTCGATAAACAAAACAAAAAAGATGTATTTGTCTGTTTTAGGGCATTTAGTTTTGGGAGTAGAATGAAAGAATTTGGATAGTGACTATTAATATATTTAGTATGCTGCTCTAATTAATGAAACTTACCGAGGTGGGCTTCAAACAGCCCAACTATAACAGGAATTTGTCTGACTAGATTATGGTATTCTCAGAAGTGCAGCCCATGTGATGCAAAGACACAAATCTTAGTACATTATCAGGTTAAATCTTGGAAAGCAGTGTGTCTTGTGTGTGAGCTTTGTGCTGCCCTTGCCCCCTGTTCCCTCCAGAATCGGTGATAACAGATGAATGCTCACTTTGATTTACTTTAGAGTGTGTAAACTGAGGTACTGGGAATTAGGACTTCATTGTGTCCTAATTTTTGCAGGGACATAATTTAGCCCATAATACTGCCCACATCAAGATGATGAGTCTTCATTAGGTTGACCCAGAGCCTAAGCACATTGCATAAAGATCAGTAGGCTGTGTAGAGCAAACCCCAGCAGCAGGTGAGCACTGACCACTTCACTAGTGTATCTCTGGGATTGTGATGGCTCCTGCAGGTGCCCCTGTCTCCTTCCTGGTCCCCAGTCCTTTAGAAATGAAGGCATCCTCCAAACACCTCTGCATAGTATTTTCTGTTTATAAGCTGGGGCAGAGTCAGGCAGGGTAGTACACAGCTACAATCCCAGCACTCAGGAAAACTGAAGCAGGGGAATCACCACAAATTCAAGGCAAGCCTGGACTTTGACACCATGTCTCAAAACAACAGCAAAAAACCTGACAGATTTGATACCTGAGAGAATTCCATCATAACCACTTCTTTCCCTGTATTGATATATTATTTATGATCTAGTAAAGCCATTGGGATCAAAATGCAAAGCTAGCCACAGCCATAGAACCAGGCAGTGGTGATATACACCTTTAATCCCAGCAACCATACTAGCTAGCCATAGAGGCCAGACGACAGTGGTGGTGCACACCTTTAATACCAGGACTCAGGAGACAGGTGGATCTCTGTGAGTCCAAGACCACCCTGGGCTACAGGAGAGTGAATCAGCCAAAAAGAATAACAAAGCTCACCCCTTTAATCCCAGCATTAGGGAGGTATAAAAGGAAGACACAAAGGATTTCATGTGAGACTTAGTTTTTAGACAGGGAGAGCATTGTACTTTGAGAATTAGAGGAGACAGGATCACCCATTTCAGCCTGGGATAGAGGTAAGAACTAGTGGTTTGGCTGCTTTGCTTTTCTGATCTTCAGCTTGAACCCCATGTCTGTCTCTAGGTTTTATTATTTGTGTTCCATCACCCTGTATGTATTGACATAGATAGACTTCTTTAACCTGTGTGCATTTAAATGCAGCTTAGAGAAATTATGTAAGTAGGATATTCTTTTTGCAATCTATGCTACTGATAGTGTCCAGCAAGTGTTCTCGCTACTCAGCTATGCCCCTATCCCTGTATATAGTAGCTTCAAAGTAAGGAAATGGGCCATGGTGCAGCTGAGCTTGATTAGAAAGCCAGGTAGCTGGTACTTAGACTGTAAACCTGAATTCCTCTGCTTTTAATAGTGGTACATTCAGGTGTGAGGTTGGGCAGAAGGAAATCATTTTTAGATACATGAGATACAGGTTTCTCTGGCATTGAGATATAGGAGATCCTATTAAATGATGTTCTTCGATGCTGGAGCGATGGATCAAAGGTTGGGGACACTGGTTGCTCTTTAAGAAGAGCTGGGTTCAATTCTCAGGACCCACATGGCAGCTCACAACCATCTGTAACTCCAGTTCCAGGTGATCTGATGTCCTCTTCTGGACTCTGAAGGGCACCTGCATGCACACTTGTGATGCACATGTATGCATATACATTAAAAAATGAGTAAACAATTACCTTTTTTTGAAAAATAATGTTCTTACCAGTATCGTTGTGTAAAAATCCTTGTTTAGGATCCTCAGAGCCTTATCTCTTGATAAGGAAGCGCTGTACCACTGAGCCACACACCCAGAATTTGGTTGTTTTTACATAGTTTGTGTCATTTGAAAGTATGGAGAGGGAGAGAACTGATTCTGATCACAACAGACATACCTGTAGCATGCAAACGTATGTGCACATATATACACAAAGAAATGCAATCATTTAAAAGGGAGAGAAAAATTAAAAACTTTAAGGTGATGTTTTTGAGTCTCCTGAACTCTCTTCAAACCTAAGTCTGTCCTTAAATGTATTGACTTTCCTATCTCTACCTCCTCCCAGGGATTTTATGATTACAAGTGTGTGCCAACTGTGACCAGTTTCATAATTTTTACTGTGTGATCTATTCTAAACCATATTCCAGGATGCTAATATGGGAGGACATTGTATAGTTTTGTTTTTAAGATGGAATGTTACTATAATACATATATATTGTTTTTACCAATGTGGCAGTTTGAATGTAGTTGGTCCCCATAATCTTGTAAGGAACAGCACTGCTAGGAGGTGTGGCTTTTTTTTTTTTTTTTTTTTTTTTTTTTTTTGGTTGAATATGGCCTTATTGGAGGAGGTGTCACTGTGGGGGTGGGCTGTGGGATTTCCTGTCCTCAGGATACCACCCAGTGTCTCAGTCGACATCTTGTTGCCTGCAAGTTGTAGGACTCTCAGCTACTTCTCCCATACCACATCTGCCTGCATGTGCCATGCTCTCCACCATGATGGTAATAGACTGAACCTCTGAAACTGTAAGCAAGCCACCCTGATTAAATGTTTTCCTTGTGGGGCTGGAGAGATGGCTTAGCAGTTAAGAGCACTGGCTTTTCTTCGGGAGGACCCTGGTTCAATTCCCAGCACCCACATGGCAGCTCACAACTGTCTGTACCTCCTGTTCCAGGGGATCCAACACCTTCACACAGATATAAATGCAGGCAAAACACCAATGTGCATAAAATAAAAATAAATTATTAAAAAATGTTTCCTTGTAAGAGTTGCTGTGGTCATGGTGTCTCTTTACAGCAGTAGAAACCCTAAGACACATGTCATTATTCCTTTCCCAATTAAAAGTGAATATGTCATAGAATGGATGATTTAGAGGAAAGGGGTTTATGTGTAGACATGTAACATACAAAGGTAATGACCTTGTTGCTAATGTGCAGATTGTCATTTATAGATGGCACTAATGATCCACCACTGAAAACAAGGTAGTAAGGCTGCTGAAAGGGTCTTGGCCACTTAGCATGTTCTTCCTGGAAGTGACTTGGTCTGTCAGTCAGTTTTTTGATACAGTAACTCTACCTCCAGTTAAAATGATAGTTGTGGGGGCTGGGAAGATGGCTAGTGGTTCAATTCCCAGCACCCACATGGCAGTTTACTACTGTAGCTCCAGTCCCTGGAGACTGGATGCTCTCATGCAGACATACATGCAGGCAAAACATCAATGCACATACTTATAAAAATAAGTAAAAAATTTTTTAAAAAAAGCAAAATGATAGTTGTGTGTCCCTTTCAGTGTTTTTAATAAGGAAAACTCTCAAAAACCAGTATTTCTGTTAATAGAGCTAAATGAATTATAATTAAATTCACAATATAGCAGGCTTTGAACTTCACACACACATACACCATCTCTTCTACATCCCAAGTGCTGGGATTACAGGTATGTGCTAACATGCCCATGTTGTTTTCCATTAGTTTCTATAATCAACTCTAGTTAATACAGTATGTATATTTGTACAAATGGAGAAAAAGTACGTTTAGCATTTCTAGACCCATGTGGCTGTTAACACACTAAACGGAATACTTTTCGACAGCAGCTAAAATTTCTAAAAACCAAATTTTATTTATTTATATTAAAAAAATAATATCAGTATGTTATATATCAACAGCTTTTCTGGGTTCTATAGTTACTGATCATGATTATGGAGACACTCATCAGGGCTAGCTGTATGTGGTGCTAGGTATCAAACCGAGGGTGCCACTTCTGCCAGGCAAGTTCTCTACTAGCTTATGTAGTTATATTTTTTTATTATTTTTCTTGGAGACTGAGGCAGGAGGACCTCATTGCATTGAGAAATCTCTAACTTCCCTGGTATCAGCTTGCTTTTTCAATCTGACCTAATCCTTGATAAGTTTCTTTTAGGCTATAATTTTGTAAGATAACAATTCCACACTGATCATTCTAGGCATCATAATGAGACTCTTTCTAGTGTTAAAAAACAGTAACTTTAAAAAGGAAGATTATGATGACTGGAGAGATGACTCAGACTAAGAGCACTGGCTGCTCTTCCAGAGGTCCTGTGAGTTCAATTCTCAGCAACCACATGGTGGCTCATAACCATCTGTAATGAGATCTGGTGCCCTCTTCTGGCGTGTGAGCACACATGCAGGCAGAACTATATATATATTCTTTTTTAAAAAAAGAAAGAAAATTATGAGTATGTGCTTGGTTTATTATCATAATGCCAGTAAATATAATTTCAGAAGAAAATACAAGTCAAATCTATTTCATCATGCATCAAGAGATAAAATTCTTAGAAATTTGAGTGGAAAAACTCGGTAGAGTAGGTGGGTTCTACAGAAGCTAAAGTGGTACTTAGGGGACCCTGAGGGCACTGTCTGCTTGGCTGTGACAAGCCCCTCTGTAGATAAATGATCAGTGTGGAATTGTTATCTTACAAAATTATAGCCTAAAAGAAACTTATCCAGGATTAGGTCAGATTGAAAAAGCAAGCTGACACCAGGGAAGTTAGAGATTTCTCAATGCAATGTGGTTTTTGAGACAGTTTCACTGTGTGGCCCAAGCCAGCCTAAAACTTGGAATCATCTTGCTTCCCAGTCACTGGGATTACAGAAAAACAGCACCATTCCTGGCTGTGGGGTTAAAGTTTTGTAGATAACATAAGCTCTTTAGCTTGAGGGAGTAGATTAGTGTTTAGGCTATATGAACTGTTTTCAAATGAGTTGTGTTTTTTGTGCTTCTTTGCCCTGTGACATTTTTGTGTGTGTTTTCTAAGAACAAAGGTAGAGAGGTTAAATCACTTGATACTGTAGTAATATCAGTTGCAATTAATTGAATATCCAACATGGGTGTGTACCATTACCCTCAAGTGTATGTGTACATTTAGCATGTTGGCAGTCTTGGCAGTTGTGGCCATACAGAAAAGGAAGAGCCACCTCAGAGACTTCTGAGGTGCTTCTGACCAACTGGATTAGTTGATGTTCTGACTTCCTCTCCTTAGGTGTGATAAACCTTTATTTAAGCAGCTTGCAGATTTCAGGGGAAAGCATTTACAGGTTTCTTGTAGAAGGTAGGACAAAGTATACAGATGTGTCAAGCAAGGCCTGGGGCTGGGACTCCATTTACCTCTAGGACTTGCTGTCTGGAGCATGTACCTTCAGGTTTTATGGAAATTTAAGTGCATAGGCAGGACTAAAATATGGGTAACAATGTAAAAAAAGTAATTTGGACAACAACAACAACAAAAACTCATGCTAACAGTAGGAAGACAGGACTTCTGTTTCCCTTAGGAATGGAACATGGGGGGCAAGGGATCTACCACTGAACTCTATCTCTAGCCCAGGCATTACTGTTTCTAAAATGAAAGCCCAGGGGTACAGACAACTCCAGAACAGAAAGACAGATCAGAATTCGTTTCTCTACCAACCTGAGGGAAGAGGAATTCTGGCTTTTGTGGATGATCTTAAAAAAAGGATCCATGTAGCCATGAACAAAATACCATATTATACACTCCAGGATTACCTCACAATCCTGTATCATGCTTTCTCCATCTTGGCCTACAGGTGTCATTTCAGTGAGTATCTACTCTATGTTATTTATTGTGGCTGTTTAGGAAAATCATAAACTCTATGTTCCTGCCTGACTTTCAGTAAAACTTAAGTTCATGTGCCTGGAGAGATGGCTCAGCAGTTAAGAACATTGCTGCTTTCCAGAGGACCAGTGTTGGGGTCCTAGCATTCAGGGGATCTTAACCCCACTACCCCTATCTTCTGCATTCACCTACATACTACACTTGAATAAAATAAATCTTTAAGTATTTTACACATAATTAAGATGCCTTTGGCTTTATGATGCACATGGTCCCTCCTTGGGACCATGCTACTGTTTATTTAATAGCAAGGTAGGAATGCATTAGAGCTCTAACTGTTTCAGTGTTGAAGTACTTGTCAGGTGACATTGAAAACCCATCATAGGACATTAGTAGAAGCACCTGGTTTAAGTCTTGATGGATCTGTGTGACAGCCTCATGGAGATTCTCAAGGCACAGTGTGGAGATGCTGAGTAGAGAAGGAGATTGGGCTTAATTGTACATCTGCAAGTAGACATTATAACTCAGATAGACATTACTGGGTTTGTTATGTCCAGGGTAGTTGAGACAACATTTAGACATACTTTGCCTTGTTTAATTTGATTTTTAACAGTGCCAGGAAGGTGGTCTGTTACCCTTGACACATGAGGGCAGTGCGACTTTGGGCAGAAGGATAGAGTGAGTAAAGTTGTGGACCTTCCGGGACAGGTCGTGCTGTCTCCCATAGGGTTTCGTGGTATAAACTCAGTCATCTGGGGTCACCGGCATCTGCTTGCTGTCTGTACCCATGCTCAGGGAAGGTGGCTTTTGTTGTATTTCCCTAGTAGGGAAGGAGGGAACTGAGGCTCAGAAAATTCTGAAGATGTGCTCAGGGTTACACCTCTGCAAGATGGCAAAGCTAGATCTCACTGGAGATCCTCAGGCCACTCCAATGTCTTCTACAGAGTCACAAGTATATCTGGAATTGAGGAGGTTATGTGGAATCCAGTTTCTTTGACTGGGTGAGCTAATCATAACTACTTATTTGTGGTAGCAGAGGTTCTGATACTTGTCCAGTGAACTGTGGCAATGGCTTAGGAACTGTGAGATTTTAAGGAAATGGCAATAGGAAGCCTGCAGCTGGTTGATGGGAAATGGCGCTCTTGCCCTTAAACATAGAACAGGAACAGTAGTTTGAAATCCTAGAAACCATTCCTGTTGCTCGGATAAAGTAGGGTCAGCCTCAGAGTTGATAGCTTTTGGTTTTGGTTTTCACTGTTGATATTTAAGTAGAGACTACCTAGCCATTTAGAATGAGCAAGGGAGGAAGACTGCAACATTTATAGAAGACAGAATCTTCGGAGATGATGCAGCTGAAGATGGCCATTAAGCAAATTGACCCAGTCTTAGAAAGACAGGTTTTTCTCTCATTTGCGGGTCCTAAATATGGAAGGGGAAAGAAGTAAAGTTGTTTGGGAATAAAGGGGTCCTCTGCAACGAGAACAACAGACAATTGTGAGGCACTATGTGGATGCTGGGAATTGAACCCAGGTCCTACAGAGGAGGACCCAATTCTCTTAACTGCTGAGCTATTTCTCCCGCCTCTTGTCTGGTTTTTTTATGCCAGTGTCAGACTTTTGTATTTCTGAACTTACTCCAGTTAAGTAAGGCTCCCTGGCTTTGTGTACTTCAGTGCTGTGACCCTTACAAATCAGTTGGTGATTCCCTTCCAGATGTCCAACATCACAGTCACCTACAGAGATGGCAGAGTGGCACAGCTGGAACAGGTATACATACGTGGCAGCAAGATCCGATTTCTGATTTTGCCTGACATGCTGAAAAACGCACCCATGTTAAAGAGTATGAAAAATAAGAATCAAGGCTCCGGGGCTGGCCGAGGAAAAGCTGCTATCCTGAAGGCCCAAGGTAGGTGTTTTGTGAGCTGGCTTCAGAATCTCCACCTTGCCCTGTTCTTTTAGGGAAAGGCCCTATTGTTGCATGGAGACATGACTGTACCGCATGTTGCTATACCCTGTCCTGACCTACCCCCAGGCTTGAGAAATCTTGGTACCGGGGGCTTTTCCCTGTTACCTTTCTTGCCTTACTTGATCCTATCACGGAGTTTAGTAAAATCCCAAATCTCTCCTTAGGGGGGTAAAAAAAAAAAAAAGATGCAGATTCCTTGAGCAAGGTTGGTGGCTCGCACCTATAATGGCAGCACTCAAGAGGCTTAGGCTGAGGGGGCCAGCCTGTGCTACACAGCAAGACCCTGGAGAGGCAGGCAGAGAGAACCCTGTCTTAAGTGAAATGGTCTTCTATAGTGAAGGCCCTTTGTTCTCAAAAATTCTATCCAGGAGGGCTAGGCAGCATGTTCTAGTCTAGTGAGGATGTGAATTAACACCTGAAACAGAAGGGTACCTTCCTAGAACTGTACGTGACATCCCCCATTCACCAAAGACAGAAGGGGTAGAACAAACCAAACACAGTTCCACTCAAGTCTGTCTTGATGAGCCAGTGAGCTTATCAGCGTTACTTAGGAGCATGGCTGCCCTTGCTGCTTCACTGGAGTTCCCCCTTAAGTTAACCATACATTTTCTCTATACTTCTCACCTCTCCTACAGTGTGCAGCTGGGGCCTTGACTGTCCTATAGGCCAGGGTGGCCTCAAATTCACAGAGATCCACCTGCCTCTGCCTCCCAAGTGCTGGGATTAAATGCGAGCGCCACCAACACCTGGCTCTCTCTTGTTAATTTTTAAAGTTGCATGGATTAGCTTCTTTGTGGGGAAAGGGACACATGTGGACATGAGAGTACAACTTGTCAGAATCAGTTCTTCCTTCCACCATGGGGCTCTGGGAATTGAACTTACATCTGCAGGATTGGCAGCAAGCATCTTTACTTGACAAACCATCTTGCCATCCTGTGTTTCAAGTTTTCTTAAATTTGACATTAAATCCCTCTGAGACAAAACAGCAGTGTAGCCACACTGTCTCCCAGTGTCTGCTTAGCTGCTCTTGGAGATTGTCCCAATTATGGTTTATATTTGGGTCCCTGGAAAATTCTGCCACGTTATTTATTGCGTGTTTTATATGTGAGGTAGCTTCTGTGTTTAAAGATAGAGTAGTTTTATTCTTTGTTTTGTTTGTTTGCTTGTTTTCTTTTGTTTTAAGAGCTGATTAAAGTCTTGGGACCAGAGATGACTTGGTGGTAAAGGTGGTTTTCATGTAACCCTGACAGAAATTGTCCTCTGACTTCTACATGCACACAGTACACACAGACATGAATAAATAGATACAAAAAAGTGTGAGAGAAAATTTTTCCCTTTGCGCCCACTATGACTGCTCTTGCTGTCATAGTGACACTGGGTGTCCCATCTATGCCAGTCATTGTTGTTTACTTCAGGCAGTGAGTTGTCCCTGGCCAATGACTGCTACATGAGCCACCTGTGCCTTTCCCAACCTCTGGCTCTGGTCCCTATCAGCAGGTGCATAGGTTTCCATCAGACTCCTCCCTTGGGACTGCTCCATGTTCCTGGGCACATAGGTCACAGAGTGGGAGACTTGTGCCTTTTTATGGGTAGTGTTATTTTGTTTTTGTTATTAAGCATTTCTTTCATGCCCAAAAGCCCAAAGACTCCTTATCCAGAATTAACAGGCACTTAGTATATGTGCTGGAGAGTTTCAAAAGTGAATTGAGGGCAGGGTGGTTTAGCTCAGTGGGTAAAGAGCTTTCCACACAGTATGAATACCTGAGTTCAGTACATTCATGGTAGCACCTGCTTGTAAGCCCAGCACTGACAAGACCAAGAAGGGTCCCTAGCCAGCCAATCTAGTCTACTTGGCAAGCTCCAGGCCAGTGACAGACCTTGTCTTAAGAAACAAAGTAATGGAGCCAGGCGTTGGTGGTGCACGCCTTTAATCCCAGCCCTTGGGAGGCAGAGGCAGTTGAATCTCTGTGAGTTCGAGGCCAGCCTGGTCTACAAGAGCAAGTTCCAGGACAGCCTCCAAAGCCACAGGGAAACCCTGTCTCGAAAAACCAGAAAGAAAGGAAGGAAGGAAGGAAGGAAGGAAGGAAGAGTAATGAATGGTACTGAGGAACAATACTTAAAGCTTTCCCCCTCTTCTGTGTACACACACACACACACACACACACACACACACACACACACTGGGTTTGTTATGTCCAGGGTAGTTGAGACAACATTTAGACATACTTTGCCTTGTTTAATTTGATTTTTAACAGTGCCAGGAAGGTGGTCTGTTACCCTTGACACATGAGGGCAGTGCGACTTTGGGCAGAAGGATAGAGTGAGTAAAGTTGTGGACCTTCCGGGACAGGTCGTGCTGTCTCCCATAGGGTTTCGTGGTATAAACTCAGTCATCTGGGGTCACCGGCATCTGCTTGCTGTCTGTACCCATGCTCAGGGAAGGTGGCTTTTGTTGTATTTCCCTAGTAGGGAAGGAGGGAACTGAGGCTCAGAAAATTCTGAAGATGTGCTCAGGGTTACACCTCTGCAAGATGGCAAAGCTAGATCTCACTGGAGATCCTCAGGCCACTCCAATGTCTTCTACAGAGTCACAAGTATATCTGGAATTGAGGAGGTTATGTGGAATCCAGTTTCTTTGACTGGGTGAGCTAATCATAACTACTTATTTGTGGTAGCAGAGGTTCTGATACTTGTCCAGTGAACTGTGGCAATGGCTTAGGAACTGTGAGATTTTAAGGAAATGGCAATAGGAAGCCTGCAGCTGGTTGATGGGAAATGGCGCTCTTGCCCTTAAACATAGAACAGGAACAGTAGTTTGAAATCCTAGAAACCATTCCTGTTGCTCGGATAAAGTAGGGTCAGCCTCAGAGTTGATAGCTTTTGGTTTTGGTTTTCACTGTTGATATTTAAGTAGAGACTACCTAGCCATTTAGAATGAGCAAGGGAGGAAGACTGCAACATTTATAGAAGACAGAATCTTCGGAGATGATGCAGCTGAAGATGGCCATTAAGCAAATTGACCCAGTCTTAGAAAGACAGGTTTTTCTCTCATTTGCGGGTCCTAAATATGGAAGGGGAAAGAAGTAAAGTTGTTTGGGAATAAAGGGGTCCTCAGAAACAGGCACAACAGACAATTGTGAGGCACTATGTGGATGCTGGGAATTGAACCCAGGTCCTACAGAGGAGGACCCAATTCTCTTAACTGCTGAGCTATTTCTCCCGCCTCTTGTCTGGTTTTTTTATGCCAGTGTCAGACTTTTGTATTTCTGAACTTACTCCAGTTAAGTAAGGCTCCCTGGCTTTGTGTACTTCAGTGCTGTGACCCTTACAAATCAGTTGGTGATTCCCTTCCAGATGTCCAACATCACAGTCACCTACAGAGATGGCAGAGTGGCACAGCTGGAACAGGTATACATACGTGGCAGCAAGATCCGATTTCTGATTTTGCCTGACATGCTGAAAAACGCACCCATGTTAAAGAGTATGAAAAATAAGAATCAAGGCTCCGGGGCTGGCCGAGGAAAAGCTGCTATCCTGAAGGCCCAAGGTAGGTGTTTTGTGAGCTGGCTTCAGAATCTCCACCTTGCCCTGTTCTTTTAGGGAAAGGCCCTATTGTTGCATGGAGACATGACTGTACCGCATGTTGCTATACCCTGTCCTGACCTACCCCCAGGCTTGAGAAATCTTGGTACCGGGGGCTTTTCCCTGTTACCTTTCTTGCCTTACTTGATCCTATCACGGAGTTTAGTAAAATCCCAAATCTCTCCTTAGGGGGGTAAAAAAAAAAAAAAGATGCAGATTCCTTGAGCAAGGTTGGTGGCTCGCACCTATAATGGCAGCACTCAAGAGGCTTAGGCTGAGGGGGCCAGCCTGTGCTACACAGCAAGACCCTGGAGAGGCAGGCAGAGAGAACCCTGTCTTAAGTGAAATGGTCTTCTATAGTGAAGGCCCTTTGTTCTCAAAAATTCTATCCAGGAGGGCTAGGCAGCATGTTCTAGTCTAGTGAGGATGTGAATTAACACCTGAAACAGAAGGGTACCTTCCTAGAACTGTACGTGACATCCCCCATTCACCAAAGACAGAAGGGGTAGAACAAACCAAACACAGTTCCACTCAAGTCTGTCTTGATGAGCCAGTGAGCTTATCAGCGTTACTTAGGAGCATGGCTGCCCTTGCTGCTTCACTGGAGTTCCCCCTTAAGTTAACCATACATTTTCTCTATACTTCTCACCTCTCCTACAGTGTGCAGCTGGGGCCTTGACTGTCCTATAGGCCAGGGTGGCCTCAAATTCACAGAGATCCACCTGCCTCTGCCTCCCAAGTGCTGGGATTAAATGCGAGCGCCACCAACACCTGGCTCTCTCTTGTTAATTTTTAAAGTTGCATGGATTAGCTTCTTTGTGGGGAAAGGGACACATGTGGACATGAGAGTACAACTTGTCAGAATCAGTTCTTCCTTCCACCATGGGGCTCTGGGAATTGAACTTACATCTGCAGGATTGGCAGCAAGCATCTTTACTTGACAAACCATCTTGCCATCCTGTGTTTCAAGTTTTCTTAAATTTGACATTAAATCCCTCTGAGACAAAACAGCAGTGTAGCCACACTGTCTCCCAGTGTCTGCTTAGCTGCTCTTGGAGATTGTCCCAATTATGGTTTATATTTGGGTCCCTGGAAAATTCTGCCACGTTATTTATTGCGTGTTTTATATGTGAGGTAGCTTCTGTGTTTAAAGATAGAGTAGTTTTATTCTTTGTTTTGTTTGTTTGCTTGTTTTCTTTTGTTTTAAGAGCTGATTAAAGTCTTGGGACCAGAGATGACTTGGTGGTAAAGGTGGTTTTCATGTAACCCTGACAGAAATTGTCCTCTGACTTCTACATGCACACAGTACACACAGACATGAATAAATAGATACAAAAAAGTGTGAGAGAAAATTTTTCCCTTTGCGCCCACTATGACTGCTCTTGCTGTCATAGTGACACTGGGTGTCCCATCTATGCCAGTCATTGTTGTTTACTTCAGGCAGTGAGTTGTCCCTGGCCAATGACTGCTACATGAGCCACCTGTGCCTTTCCCAACCTCTGGCTCTGGTCCCTATCAGCAGGTGCATAGGTTTCCATCAGACTCCTCCCTTGGGACTGCTCCATGTTCCTGGGCACATAGGTCACAGAGTGGGAGACTTGTGCCTTTTTATGGGTAGTGTTATTTTGTTTTTGTTATTAAGCATTTCTTTCATGCCCAAAAGCCCAAAGACTCCTTATCCAGAATTAACAGGCACTTAGTATATGTGCTGGAGAGTTTCAAAAGTGAATTGAGGGCAGGGTGGTTTAGCTCAGTGGGTAAAGAGCTTTCCACACAGTATGAATACCTGAGTTCAGTACATTCATGGTAGCACCTGCTTGTAAGCCCAGCACTGACAAGACCAAGAAGGGTCCCTAGCCAGCCAATCTAGTCTACTTGGCAAGCTCCAGGCCAGTGACAGACCTTGTCTTAAGAAACAAAGTAATGGAGCCAGGCGTTGGTGGTGCACGCCTTTAATCCCAGCCCTTGGGAGGCAGAGGCAGTTGAATCTCTGTGAGTTCGAGGCCAGCCTGGTCTACAAGAGCAAGTTCCAGGATGCTGAGTCCTAAAAGTCTGGCTTCCGTCCTGTCTTGTTAAGAACATATGCATGCATGCTTTTTTATTCTTGTTTATTTGCCCCTCTCCCCACCCCCCCCCCCCCACACCCCCCCCCACACCCACACACACACACACACACACACACACACACACACACACACACACACACACACACACACCCTTCCTTCCCTTACACCATACAGAGTGAATTGAATGCATCTAAATGGCATAGTATTTTGCCATAGGCCAGTCCTGAGACTTTGTCTTTCCTGTTGTACTCAGACTACTGTCAACCCTACCTACCACTCTAATAGCCAGAAATCAGTGTCTACTTGCACTCCTTTTCCTCCCCGTCACTGTGTGACAGGTAGTGAATTGGGGTGATGCTGGTTTTGGTGGCCTCTCAGGCCCCTTCCAGAGCTGATGCCCGGGCTCTAGCTTGTCATGAGCACTCCCACACACTCTGACCTCTCCTCTTCTTCCTTTCAGTGGCTGCCAGAGGAAGAGGACGTGGAATGGGGCGTGGAAACATCTTCCAAAAGCGAAGATAAATAAATTTCTGTGGAAGAGAACTGTGTCCTTTTTTCTCTTAGGTTACTGTAGATTGGAGGAGAGGCTATGTGTGCATATGTTGTAGGTTTTCTTTTGATATTTCTCTTTGTATCAGAGAAACTGTTAAACTTAATAAAATTGGTTGTTTTGTGGTTTGTTTATGTGAGGGTTTGTTTTCTTTTGTTTTTAAGGAAATAAGAACTATGTGTTCATTCTGTAGTTTGCTTTGGCAGCAGGTTAAAATCTGACACCCTTGGACATGTGCTGGGAGAATGCCAGTACTTTTCAAAAGCAGTTGTTGATAAGAGTTCAGGTGCTGTGTCGGCCAGTTTCTAGTTGAGCCAAGAGAAGGCTGACTCAGAGAAACTCCAGGACCTGGGTTATCTTTGACACGTGCACTCGGTGTGGCACTTTGCTCAGTCAACCTTTGTGGGGCGCCATCAACCTGACCTGTGAAGATGTCTCGTGGCCTGATGAGCACTGGTTACTCTAGCCCCTCAGCATTTGAGCACAGTCTTCTGATACTAAGAAGTAATGCAGAGGCTCCTGGGGGTCCCTATCTGTGGCTACTCTACTGGCTCCACACAGTGTAGTTAGCATCTCAGCATTGGTTAGCACATTAATTATTAGCAAGGGAGGATAAGATATGCAGAGTATTTGACACAAACACAGGTTGTGAAAACAGCCTGAACCATTCAGCTATTGGAAAGAGTTGCCAAAGGTTTGTTCTGGAATGAGCTACAGTAGAAACCTTTCAGAGGAAAGGAGTCAGTTACTCATTTCTTTTTGCTTATTTGTTCACTTACATTTGCAGTCCTCTTTGCCTATTTATTTGGCCATATTCCTTTACCACAGAGATGCAACCAAGCACCTTACAGTTTTCCTTTTGAGTCAGTTTCATGTCAGCTTTAAACATTGATTTGTTGCCTCCACCAATGTGGCATATATCAGCTCTCTCCTCAGGACTAGAATCAAGCAGAAGCTTGCAGCGTAAGCAGGCAAACTACCCAGGAAGCCATCATGGACTGCTTATATAAGCAGTCACTAGCTGCTTGTATGGTGAAATATTAACATCCCTACACGCCAGCAGCAATGCCTTCTACCCTCACCCATGGCTGTGGGTTGCAGAAAAGGGGGCTTTTGAGGGGGCAGTTGAAACGGGTTCTCTATGTAGTCCTTCCTGACCCAAGTCCTACTTGCTATGCAGCCAAGTGACCTCAAATTCAGAGATACACTTGCATCTGCCTCCTAGTGCTGCAGTGAAAGGTGTACCATTGTGCCCAGCTAAAAGCAAAGTCTGGAATTCATCCTAGCCTCTGCCTCTGCCTCTGTAGAGCTCTGTGCAGAAGGGACAGGGCCCAAGTTCTTATGTCTAAAGGGGGCCCTACTTTGTGTTGGAAACCACTTCTTTGAGGTTGAGCATGGTGGTACACACAGCCCCAGCACTCAAGAGGCAGGGGCAGGTTCAGGGCAGCCCGGGTTAGACACACACAGTAATTGAGGATGCGTGTCAGCACACATGTGGAAGTCAGGGGACAGCTTTTGGGAGTTGGCCCTTCCACCCTCTTAGGAATCAAACATGGGTTGTCAGGGCTTACCCTGAAAACAGCAAGCAATTCTGCCCATCTCCCTTTTTTTTTTTTTTTTTTTTTCTTTCTGCTTTCAACTCATAACTGGTTTCTCTCAAATATGTCTATGTGCTTACTCCTGGCTGTCCCAGGTTTCTTCACTCTCTTGGATCCCTTCTCCTGGTTATTGTGTGTCTTCCTCATCACCTATCTTCCTGATTGTAATTCTGCATCTGCCATATTGCTACCTTGTGACTGATTAAATCATTACTGGTGAGCAATGTAATTCCCTAAGAGTAATAAAACCCTCGCCAGTACTTACCTTGGCTTTAGTTTCTGTATATTCCAAACTCAAATAAAGACCTTGAGTCATTATCTGCTATCTGTCCGATCTGAATTGGTTTGCCTCCACCGTGTCATCCCAGGTTCTTACCATGCCCTTCCTCGGCTTAGCTCCTGGTTTCCATGTAGGTTCTTCCTCTTGGTTTATTGTTTTGTAATGGGCCAGAGAGAAGGCTCGGGTGTTAAAGGCTAGGCTCACAAGCAAAAATTATGTTGTATTTTTGAGACTACCTTTCTGAAAATAAAGTTGGAACCGGCTTTCCATCAAATTGAATGACTTTATTCCTGGAGAAAATGAGCAAGCATCTACTCATCCCAGATAGGGAACCAACAGCAGACCGAAGTACAGATATTAGAGTCCAACTTGGTGAACCAATGGATTTTATTAGGGTTATTTATAGGAATATAGGTGAAGGGTTCCTAACAGAAAATGACAGCTATGCTAAACCCAGCATGGGTGACTAAAACCTGGAGTTTACTGTATGCCCGGCAGGCAGCTCTGCTTGTCTAAGTGTGGCAGCAGTCCTTACTGCTTAGATGTGCTTTCTGAGGTAAGCATGGTGAATCAGTTTCAGGGACTTCCTGAATCCTTTTGAGTTGTTCAGTTCCTGAACTTAAGGAGCTTCCTGCAGGATGGAGGGTTCTGTTTCCCCTTCAAATATCCTGTGTCTTGAGCTTCCATGCACATAGAATGTTTTTATCTCCGAGGACATGCTATACAACACTTGGGAATTTTGAGAGCATTGATACTTTGTAATTTTGCAGGTGTTAGGAAAAGTGCCTTGTACATACTTTGAGACAGATGTGTTGTGCAAGCCATGATGAGCTGGGAGTGGAGCCTGCCTTTTTCTGGGAAACCTTACTTGCCTTATTTGTTAAGAATTGCCTTCCGTGGCATGCCTGTGACAAGTCTAGGAACAACTTTTGGGTGCTGGGGGGGTCAGGCTGAGGTCATCGAGCTTGGCAGCAATCATTTTTGCTCACTGAACCATATAGCCAGCCCATGTTTCAGTCTTTAGGAAAGATGCTTGCCCCCGGGTGGGTTTCCTGAACATTCTCGAGTATTGTTTTGCAGTTAATTGTTCTGTTCTTGACAGTAATGTCTTCTCTTTGGAAACATTAATGTGTCTGATGCTTTTATCTCCTTGTGTAAGTTTTCTACCTTTTTGGTTTGGGGAATTCCATGTTACAGATTTTAGCTTGTCTGACAATCCCTAGTAATCTGTGGGATTACTAAAGATTACTAATGTGTGTATATATTATTAGTATGTATTACATGTAACATACGTGTGTGTGTGTGTGTTTTACTAGTAGGAATATCTGTAGGGTGGGCTGGTTGAGTGCTAGGAATTGAACAGAGCCTTACACATGCTAAGGAAGAGCTCTGCCATTGAGCTATCGCTCAGCCCAGTGTCTTAAGGCTTTCTTGGGATAGACAGATTCGGTGGGGGAAACACGGCCAGATTTAGACCAGATGAGGTGGTGCACACCTTTAATCCTACCTGAGAGACAGAGACAGGCAGACCTCTATGAGCTTGAGGTCAGCCTGGTCTTTGTATGGAGTTCCAGGCCAGCCAGGGATAAATAGTGAGACCCTGTCTCAAAACAATAAAAATAAGTAATTTTTTCTAAGGAATGAAAGGGGACACCATAAGATAGTAACTTGTCTCCCCAAAAGGCCAACATGTGACATTGGTTCTAATGACCACAGCTACTGTCTTCCTATATACAGGAAAGTTTAGACTCCTCAGGAATCTGTGGTATCAACTGTCCCAGCAAGGGAAGTTTCTTATTGAGTATTCCATACTTAAATTAAGTGTATAGGATTTTTTTTCTACCATTGGCAAAAGGTAATTAGATTTACAATTGTCCCTGGAAAAAAAGCAGACAAAATACATGAAACCAGTTTTCAAAATCCCAGGCCTCAGCTATTGAAGGATACTGATTCCTAATAAACAGGGGAGTTACCCATTGTCCAGCTTACGCTTTACAAAGAGATTCACCTATGGCCCAGACAGCCGGGACTGAGCCTTGCTGGAGTCTACCTTTGTGAAGAATCAGAGCTAAGAAATATCTGCTGGTTGGTCTTGAGTATTGCACAGAACATGGATCGGCGCATGACTGAGAAAAGGCTGTAGTGAGCAGGAAAGTCTCTTGCTATAGACCTCAGGTGCTGTCTGATGACACTCTTAACTTTTGAGTTGTTGAAGGCTCGTGGTTTTATCTTATCAGGTAAAATATCACAGGATATTAGGCCACACACATGGGGGTGATAGGTGGCTATTAAGGAGACCAAAGATAAAAAAAGGAGATAATTTGGCTCTGGATCTGATAAATTCCAAATCTCTACTGTCAATCAGTCTTGAATCTTTAACAGGTGTGGGATTTTTCTAGAAAAGTCAGTTCACCTGGAGACGCACCAAGGTCAAGAAAAGAAAACACTAAAACACAATCAAAGCTCTTTGTGACAACCCTCAGTTATTTAGGAGGAAAACCATGTCTATAGGCAAGAAAATGGCTTTTTAAAAAATCCAGTCTTACTAGTTTTATTTTTTTTTTATTATTGAGTGGAGGTGTGGGTGCCGTGGGGGTACACACGGAGGTCAGAAGACAACTTTCAGGAGTCGGTTCTCTCATTCCACCGTGGGATCCAGGAATCAAACTGCGGTCTTCATGGTTGTGTCCTTTTACCCGTTGAGCCGTCTCACAAACCCGCCAAACTGTCATTTAACATTCAACATTGTAAATAAAAGTTAAAAAAAAAAAGACATCTTTACTGTTTGGGAGGCAGGGGGAGGGGGTGGGGTGCACATCAAGATAGTTTCTGTGTGTAGCCCTGGCTGTCTTGGAACTAACTGCTCTGCCTCAAACTCATGTAGATCTGCCTGTCCACCTCCCAAATGTTGGGACTAAAGGTGTGCACCACCACTGCCCAGCTTAAAAGATACTCTTATGAAATTACAATAAACTATATTTAAATAGCTGGGTTTTGCTGTTTTGTTGTTAATATAGAGCGTTTATTTGCTCAGGCTGCTCAGGAGTATTTTATTTATGTGTATGAGTGTTTTTCTTCCATGTTTGTAGGTGCACTGTGTGCATGCTCAGTGCTCATGGAGGTCAAACAAGGGCATCAGATCCCCTAGAGCTGGAGTTACGGGTGCTTGTGAATCACCTTAAGGGTTCTGGGAACCAAACCTGGCTCCTCTACAAGAGCAACAAGTGCTAATAACTGCTGAGCCAGCTATCCAGCC